ACCAAGAGGGAGTTCAAAGGCGTTTGCCTATATTTCCTTCAATAAACTTGACCACTACCGCTTTAGGACTATCCTTCGAGTGAAGTACGCCGACTTCGTCTTAAATAATACAGGCCACACTGGCTGCGACAATATTGCGACGATATCCCGGGCAATCCAAGAGACGACTGAAGTGGTTTGGACAAGTTCTTCGCCGCCAACCTCACGAGCTCAGTGCTACTGCCCTCAACCCCAAACAGTTACCTAATTGGAAACTTCGAAATGGGGGCAGCTGAAAACCTGGCTCAACTCAGTCCATCAGGACATGGAAATGGTTCTCAGAACTTCGGCATTCGAACTCCGGGGTGCTGGTGAAGAGAATGGCTCGAACTTTCCAGGTCTGCTGTCACGTATCGTCGCGCATGGAGAGGCACTGTCGCAACTTATGCTCCATATGCGTTCTCTACCGGCTAGACGACACAATTTTGGCGAAATCTTGTTCGAACAACATCTCTCCTGCCCATGCAGCAGGTATAGCTGTGCTCTCTATGGTAAACCTCCAACAGGACTATTATTTCTAATATGAGGTCCGATGTGCTACCCATTCCCGACTCTGACGGTGACCATTCACCTCGAGCGGGACTATTCCCACGAGACGGTGCGACAACAGGACTATTATTTCTAATATGAGGTCAGACGTGCTACCCATTCCCGACTCTGACGGTGACCTCTCACCTCGAGCGGGACTATTCCCACGAGACGGTGCGACATGAATGGTGTCATACATAGTCGGACAGAAGAAAAAAGACGAATCAGTGTGTTTGTGTACGCACGTGCGTAAGCGTTTAACCTGATCACAAAAAGGAAGGGGCAGGGGAGATAAATTGACAAGAGAGCTCTCATTTGGTCAGTTTCTTTTTCTTGCCGCCAGTACGCCTGCGACCAGGCCGGTTGGCCAGAAACTTGGTGGGTTTCAGACCGTGACAACCGTCGTGCGTTTGCCAACAGTGCGGTGGAATCTGACCATCGGAACGCAGGCCCAGGGTGGCGGCCTTGCTGGTGACGTCATGTGTGGGGAACATGACGTTGAGGAGGTCCTGCTCGCCACCCAGGAAGGCATG